TCAGTAATAGAAATACAAACTTGTTGTTGCTGTGCTGCTTGTTGTAAGGCACGTTGATATTGTTGCTGTTGTAGCACCACCTGTTGTTGTGCAAAAGTCTGTAATAAGCAGAAAAAAAAGGCATAAAGCCATAACTACAATATTTAATCAACTAAAATCATTCAACCAATTATAAATGGTAGCAGATTAATTTGCTGGAAATAAAGCAGAGATTCAACAAATATAATCAATCGTAGTAAACAATACTAACTTTAACAGTTAAATTTTTCATAAAGTTAAATCAATTAATCAATTAAATAATTTAACAAATAACTCCAACCATAACCTCCTTTAATTAAAGCAAATTACTAACCAAATTTCTTGATAATAAAGTCAATTCCCTTGCTAAGCAATGAACTTGATTTGTGCTAATAACGATGGAGAAGTAACAAATGATTTCATGACCTTTTGTAAGCTAACTTAAACGAGCAAGTGATAAACAATTTAAATAATCGGAATCAAATAATGGATAAAAGTGACTTCTCAATTATTATCGAGTTAATCATAATTCTTTACGTTTTTCCTAAACTTAATAAAAGTGAATTCACTTTTCAGAATTTACTTGTGATTCATGAAGTCCTAGACTACGTTGATGATTTTGCAATGCTTGCTGCTGTTGCTGTTGCTGCTGTTGCATAACTTGTAATAGATGTTGCTGTTGTTGGAATGTCTGAATATCCATCGGATGTTGTTGTAACATCTGTAACAGTGTTACAATTTTTTGCAACAAACAATTTGAAATATAGTTATTGTGTTATTAGTTTACAAATCTCCAAATAATCAGATTTAGAACTTCAAAAGGAATTGGAGAAGCGAAATGTGACTGCTGTTGTCGTCAGACTTTCGCTGAAACGAACTTGAATCTTCGACCCACAGTCGAATTACCATATTTGGTGAATTGCAGCATTCAAAATTTCGTAATAGTTAAACTTACGATTCCTCCCGTTTGTTGACTACCATAAAGCGATGGTATTTGCATATATTGCTGCTGTAGAAGCATCTGTTGGTTGTAAAATGTATTTTGGGTATTTGCTGATACAGCCGGCAAACTAGTAGCTCGTGGAGAATTCTGAAATTTTCGAAGTAAAATGATTCACATTTTATAATCTTGCAATAATTCCAATATAAAAATCATCTACAAAATACTTTACTTCACATTAGTGATAACAACTTCGCATTCCACCATTTCGCACCAGTTTCACAATATTATTCGCACCTCGATCTGCGCTTCTATGGACCGACTTAACTTCAGATTTGTGGATATATTTTCACTTAATATTTTACAGTTTTGTCGCAACAACTCCGTATGTCGCAAAACATTATGTGTTGCAGACCTCGCCTTCAATCTCGTTAACATTTGCTTTTTTTAATTCTAATCCCTGTCCTAATTAATGTGTAATATAAAACATTTTAATATTGATAGAATAGCATATGTCAGCTAGTGATATAGAACAAAGAAAGGAATTTTCACTTCGTACTGTTGAAATTTTAAAATTCTAACCAAGAGAAATATTTCTCAAAAAAGCAATCACAAAACATACCGGAACCGAATTGATGTTGTTCATTTTGCTACTAACACGATGGAGGTACCTGTAGTACCACCGCCAAAATTAATTAGAACCAGTCTTGTATTGAATATTTGAATTTTTTTCACGGACTGAAATGAAAACAGTATGTGAGCATGAAATGATATGTGGCTGACTTAAATGGAGGCAGTTAGTGTTAAATTTACAACAAAAATATTTTCAAAGTATTTCCAAGTTATCAGTTCCCGATTCCGTCAACAAAAATATATTTCTGATAAGCACCAATGCCCAATTTACGACTTATAAGTAGTTCATATACGCAATTTATATAATTTGGACTCATTACTTATACTATTTATAGCAGTACATAATATTGTGCAGAAAAATCTAATACTAATGTCTATTAATGGTATATTATAAACAAATATATCAATTACTGGAACTGAAATACGCAATATCTATAAACTTTTTATGAAAGCGTTAAAACTGCTACATAACTAAATAAACAGAAAGGATCGGAAATTCAGAAAATTACAAAGAAAAGAAAAGCACCGGAGAACTTTTATAACACAAATATTTATCCAGTTAAGCAAACCAAAAAAAAAAAGGAAAGAAAAAGGATGTCATATTGTACATGTCAATTACATATCAATATTATGCAGAAGATAGCATAAACATGCAAAATATAAATAAAGACAGTCACTTCGTAATCAATGATACTATTAGATTAGTAAGTTTTGATAAATGTATAGCAAATTCATTCAATTTTTATTTTTCCACTTTTTTATTCCTTTTTTTTGTTTTTGTTTTGTTTTTTTTTTTTTTTTTGTCTCTTTCTTCCATCAATATATAGAAAAAATCCTTCTAAGAAGATTTTAACAACTCTAATTACTATTATTTACGCTAGCAAATCCCTAAACCCCTCGTATTACACCAATGTAAATAACTACATGTTGACTATAACAACGGTCCGTGAAAAAAGTATGCATCATCTGGATGCAAATTTGACAAATTGTCAATTCTTTTTGGCCAACTGATACTTGTTTTCAAGAAAGGGAGGGAGGGCATTTATTGATTTTTCATTATTATGACTAATATACATTTGAAGGATAGAACTGAATTAGCTTTTTCCTTTTCTTGTATTTTTTTTATGTTCGATAGTACATTTTATAATAATATCTAATTTAATTTTGTTCTCCAACACTTGTACTTTTGATTTTTTATATTTTACAGATTTTATTTACTGATAATTATTCTTCGATCATTTACTTATTGCTTTGTAATGATTTACAAATTATCCATTATACTTATTGTTCATATACATATATATACCACATAACGTGATTAATAATATAATATAATAATAATAATAATAATAATAATAATAATAATAATAATAATAGTAATAATAATAATAATAATAATAATAATAATAATAATAAATAATAATAATAATAATAACAATAATAATA